TGCAATATCCTTCCTTTAAAAAAAAGGTCTTTTGGCTTGTAACTGGTATCTTCTTTGTCTTGTGTTTTGCCAGGTGGCTTTTTTGTCATTGTTGTTTCAATTTTACTTTTCTCCTTCTTGGAAGCTGTTCTCCAAAACTTCAGGTTTTTACAGGGGGGGTTCTTTAAGTGGGGATTTTGCCCGCCCGGCTTCACTAACTCACCCTCCCAAAATGGCTGAAACCACATAAAACCTCCACTTCAAAATGAAGGGAGCAGGGAGGAGGAGAATCACTTACAAAAATTCCATTATTTCGAAAGAAAGGGGGGAAATCGATCATTCCTTAACTTTTTTTTAACCAAGACAGGAATAACCAGCTCCTCTGGGAAACTAACAGCAAGAAGATTATTTGGGAATTTTGGTGAGGCGGCGGAGCAGGGTGGGTCTCTCCAGTCTCCGTCTCTGCATCCTGGACCGCTCCCCTTTCCTAGAAATCCAACTTTTCAGCAAGAAGCATATGTGGGATTTTTTTAAATATATGCTTTAGTTGAAAAATGATATCATATGAAAACAAACACGTTCAGGCAGAGAAGAGACACGACAAGTCATTTATCTTGGCAGGGGGTTAAACTAGATGACCCTTGCGGTCCCCTTCTAACCCTCTGGCTCTATGCTTCTAAGGTCTTTGAACCATTAGGCCATTGGCCTATGGGGATTTGATCCTATCTCAGGCCTTGGCTACACTAGCGCTGTACAGCACTGCAACTTGCTGCGCTCAGGGGTGTGAAAACGCCCCCCCAGCGCAGCGAGTGCAGCGCTGTAAAGCGCCAGTGTAATCAGAGCCTGCAGCGCTGCACGCTCGCTCGCAGTGCTGCAAGCTACTCCCCTCGGAGAGCTGGAGTACTTACAGTGCTGCGAGAGAGCTCTCGCAGCGCTGGCAGCGCGACTACACTCGCGCTTCACAGCTCTGCCGCGGCAGCTCTGTGAATTCCCAAGTGTAGCCAAGGCCTGAGTTCAGCTGAGGATTTGGGGAGTCTGTAAACTCTGAGGGTGTTGACGTCACCAGGCATCACCATCACCCCAGGTGACTCAGGAGGG